TGCGCACCACGTTAATGACACGTAAATATAAAATAATGCGCCGTATGTCACCCACACTCCAACCATTCTCGCGTATTTAATACTAGAACAGAAGACGTAGAGTAAACACTTCATGCGACATGTTTCAGCGCTGGTGCAACATAAATGTTTCAATAAAATTACATACATACAAAAATGACAAAACTACATTTTCACGGAATTAATTCTCTATGCCACTGCCTAGGTCCTAAAAAGATGCAGGAAATTCTGAACGCAAACATTTCCAGAAACTGTCAGTGTTGCAGCAGGCGTAACTTCTGCGAGTGCAGGGGACGGACGGCATAGGCTAATCTAATTCCGGCGCCACAAACTCTGCTCCCCGCACCACTCGTCGCTTGTGAGCGCAGGCCGTAATTGGACGTTTATTGGAGGACCGGCACGTTAATTAACCGACCATTCGACCCGAATTTCGCACTGATACACTCGGCGCACAAACACCACACGTCGCGCGCTCGTCTCCTGAGAGCATTTAGCATGTGCGCGAGTGCGGCACCGACAACTTGGGAGGTGAAAATTTCAGCCGCCAAGGAAAACGAGCGCTCACCTGGACAGGGGCGCGTGCAATTTAATTAATCACGAAATTGTGGGAGCAAAACGAACGCAAACACACGCCGCAGCTGTTTGCGTCTTTTAATCAATTTAAATTAGACAAGTTTTCATAAGTGCTGAATCAAAACAAGTGCAAACAAGTGCGTTTCATGTCGCGGTGAAGTGAAAAGGCAAAATTAAAAACATGGTGCGCTATTTTGAGTTCGCCGAATCATACATCTGAAAAGTTTTATGTAAACTAGACCAGTCGCTAAAGTGTACCAAAGGTATAAAAGTTGAGTTGAAGATTTATGTACACGTCGCACATCTGCCCGTAATTTATAAAATCCGTAATGTTTGAATTATTCTCTTCTATGTTGGTATTGTTGGCAATGTTTGTAATAACGTACGAATAGCGAGCTGGTGTGCGGTCACAACCTTGAGCGGGAAAATTGAAGACAATGCTCTTTTTGTTCTGCGTCGGTGTGAGTGTAAGCAGAATGGTAAGTGTATAGCGCACAAAACTATAACAACAATGCAAACGCACACATTAGTTCGTGTTACGAATGTTTCGTGTTCGACGCGTGCGTTTCCACGGCTGGCGGAGAAGCGCGCGCGCGCGTTGGAATAATAGCAAACGCAGACGAAGACGTCGTTGGGCGGTCGTCGTTCGACCAGATGAAGGAGTTCGTTCACCGGGTCGCGGTTCAGAGCGTCCGCGAACCATGCCTCGCTGGTGTGCCCAGCCAAAGGCTCGCATGTCGGCAGCGCAATTTCCTCGAGCAATGCAAAAATGCAACACAAACGCACACACATTCAAATCCAAAAATTCAAAAGACCAAACATTGACTTAAGTTCACTTGCATGTTGATCTTGAACTTAAGTCACAACAGCAACACTATTAAAAAAAAAACCAAATCGACAATTTGCAAATGGCATCAATTTCGTTTCGTTCCACACAGTAAAAGATTAAAACATGCGGTTATGGTACAGCGAAAAAAAAACGCACATGTGGTTGCGCAATGACGACAAACTCGTCTATGTCGTGGAGCGTGTTAAATTCTTAATAAAGTTCTCACAATACGCATGGCGTACGACGTCCGTATAATTTATACAAGCAAGAAGTCCAAGCTCAAACACACGACATCCATATCTGTATGGCACGCCATGCCTCGCGCATTCTTCAATACTTGCTTCAAAGCAAAAAACCAAGCAACCCCGTATCCATCGTACCATAGAGCCGAAGATACAACACGAACAATGTGAACAATACCATCAAGTAAGAGTTAAACTTGAACCCGACCCGAAGACAAGTTGAATCATCGAATGTGACGATGAAACAACAATATTCACAAGATGAAAACATTAAATGATCAAAAATCAACGAGTAATTCGAGGATATAAAAGTTTAGTAACCGAGCGTTAGAGACGACTTTATAATTATCCCCGCTTGAGATGATTGATATACGATTTATTTCCCACGCGCCACGGCAAGCGGTCCTGCATGTGCTAGAGACGGGCGGATGAAGCTTCGGCGGCGGGTTCTAGGAAAATTTATCGCCAACATTATTACTTCGATACGTACGCGCGCGCGACTAGAAAATCGCGAATATTCATCTCGGCGAAGATCTCATAAACGCAGCCAAGCAAGTGCGCACGCTGGCCAATGTGTGCGTGGCGGATGAGTGTGTGATATATTTAGATGAATGTTGCATCTTTAACATGTTTAAGCGCACACCGCGTCGCCCAAAACATACAAGTATAAGATTCAAGTGTATACAGCAGCGCCATGGGACAGTATGTATCCCAAAAATTTGCTGCATCCAAAAACAAACATTCTAGAATCATTAAAGTGTCATGATTGTAGATAAAACTTTAAATATATGATGGAAAAATTAAAGTTTCGAAAGATTGCCATTAGAAACCGCAACTAAAGGTACAAATTTGAATTTATTTCCATCGCTAATTTTCCTAAACCATCCGTAGAGCAATAATGTGAAAAGCTTGCCAAAAACTCACGCCATGACTAAGAAACTCTACTAAATTTCGAGCTATTTACCGAGAGTTTCGCGTACAAACTTGGAGCCTAAACGATGTGTTGTGCAGCTTTCGGGACGATGAAACGTAAATGAAAACAAATGAATTTCCTTCCAAAAACTTCCAGTATATTTCCGTGCGTTAGGTGGACATTAGTGTTAGTTAGCTGGCCGAATGGAAGAATGAAACTAAATAAAAACAGATTAGACGATGGAACGATGAGCGGCGCGAGATAAATCACGAATATAACGACGCGCTTTGTTCTCGTTAAATTGTGCTGGCATTAACGCCCATTTGACTTCAATTAGAAAGAAAAACTATTCCGAAAACTAAATGTAACTAATCTCAAATGCATTGCAATTTTCTGTATGCATTTATCTTTAAGACTTTCTTTTCGAAATTGTGATGTAAAAAATGATTCATTGTTACATATTGTTTGAACGCAAACGCTTAGGCCAGTATAATGTTAAAAGTTGCGTTAATCACTTTGTATGCATCTCGAGGTAATAGGAAAAGCGTTTCTACGTTTCCGTTGCGTTTTATGTGCCTTAGCAGTGTAAATATACTGGCAAGTGAGAAAATCAAAGTTACTCAATTGCTTAATCGCACAATCGGCAAAAAGGGAAAATTGCTAAACGCACACCAACAACAAAAATGCAGTGAACGCAAATAACATACATTAGTAGTGGAGTGCATATTACGTCCGCCCGCGTGTACGATGAGCGGTTTCTAAATTTCGAAATCTAGTGCTGCACCAAACTTGTTCGATTCCGCGAAACTTAATAGAGCAAAGGCAGGCGTAAACGATGAGTGTAAAAAACGCAAGCGTAAACACAAACAACATCCTGCATTTTTAATTGGCATGCATTCATTCATTCATTCGAGGCTCAGTTGCGAACTGGTTCATTATTCCTCCAAGAATGCACAAAATTAGCTACATAAACATCTAGGAATTAACAAAGTTTACTCGAATTTGCCACTGTCTTATTCTCATCATAATATATGCCCTAGCTGTTCTTTAGGTTCAACAATTTTACGAGTGGAATAATTTATACACGTTTAGAGAAACTACCACACATTTTATAGTTCTTAACACTCTGTTAAACGTCTAATTTTATGTTAATTAAAGCCTCACTCGACTCGCAGATTAAACTATGTTTTCGTCTTTGCTTTAACGCTCGAGAAGACAGCGAGTTAGTTGATTGTATTGCGAACGCAACGCGCACGCGGATAATCACCGAGTGAGCAACCGCATGTAATGACCGACGAATTATAAAAGCTACGAGAGCAAATATTAGTACTCTAATTGCAACAAGAGAGAATCTGTGAAATCGAATTGTAAACCCACACTACAGCAATTTAGATAAAAGCTTTAAATTGAAAGGAAAAACAAAAATTCGAACAAAATGCAAATTTTGTAATTTTCTAATTCGCCATTCTACAAGATGTAAATTACACGTTAGAACGTTTAACTTGACTTGTAGATTCATGAATTATTAGAAGCTTTCAATTTTTAATTAAGGCTTTAGTTTAATGGGCCACCAATCAGAACCGTCTTAATTTTAAAACTTTTAATATTATTTTCAATAAGAAATCGGGGAAAACCTCCAAGTACTACTTCTCAAGATTTTGTAAGGTTATTGATGTGTTGATTGGCCTCTTGCATGTGCAATCTAATCGGGCGTGTGTAAACCGTTTACAATAACAACTTAATCGCTTGTTTCACCACATCGAAAGAGCTGCTTAGTAGCTAAGCACTCTCTCGCCGACTGTCTGAACGTGAAGTCGAGCAGTCGCAGCACAACCGGCAATCATTCGGTGGTATTTAATGAATTATTACGAACGCCTTCTCGGAACGGATACGACATAATAATTCACTTTCTTGATCACAATAAATAATTTCCCCACGTGAAACCAGATCGCACGAGTTTGTACATTATATGCATGTATGTGGTTGTTGCTGAACACACAAACATTGTTTCCAGCTCTTATTATCCTGCGGCCCAGCCGGGGGCACACATTATTCAAATCCTTGGACCGGTCGCCGGTCTTACATGTGCGCCCGCTATCTAACAAAACAATCAGTTATTATAAATGGCACTGTTGCTCTATTACCATGATTATCGTGGCATTACTCTGTGTATATGGCCAATTAAACGTCTCGTGCATTGTGAAACACAAGCAGTTTCTGAATTCCGCGATGTTTATTGTGGCTTAATCGCCTTGTAATCGATGTTGTTTTTCGTCGAAAACATAGGAATTCCTGCCCGGTTATAATCCGTAACAATCGCAAATCTTAATTTATTGTCAGCTTATAACTTTTATGACGCCCATGGCGTCGTACTCGCCACGCAAGAATAATTTAAAATGGCGTGAAATAGTCATAAAAATCCTACCTGTACGTCGAAGTTGTGCTGCTGCTGTTGCAAGACGGCGCTGTCGACCTGGTGAGGCTGTGGTGGTGGTGGCGCTGCGTACTGATGTTGTTCATACGGCGGTGGCGGTTGATCCCCAAAATGCTCAAACTGCTGATTGACCGACTCGGCGAGGGTAACGCCGAGATGCGGTGCAAGATGTTGTTGCAAGTGTTGCTGATGTTGCAGATGCGGTGGCAGTTGATCGGGCTTGAGTATCACAACGCCTTGCTCTAGCTGCAAGCCGTTCTTACTCAAATCATCTTCGGCCGGCGACGGTTGGCGGCTGCCGGGCGTTCGGCTGTAATAACAATACCAACAAAAAAAATAAATATGCGATTGTGACAAGCTTCACAAAACGACATCGCTTGCGCCACCTAACGGCGAGCAGGAGAAGTGTTGTATTAACGCGAGTAGGTCACCGAGCATAGAAACTTGTTACGACAGTGGACCGAAGGTGGCGCTGGCTGTTTACAATCAGCAGGAACTACAAGTGGGGGCAGCGCGCAGGAACAGTGGGAGTGCGATTGCCTTGGCAACCAGCGCACACACGCGAGAAAACACGAGAGCACGCACATGTCATTGACTTCGGGCAAGGTAGACGCGCGGAACCTTGAACGGATAGAGCGATCGCGCTGCCGCCGTCAAGGTGGGACCGAGCAACGCTGACGGAATGCACATTTCAATGCTGTTCTCGCTGCTGGCGCCCTGGAATTAAATCACGGTCTGGAGATGTGGCGCAAATTTGTCGCACATCCTCGAATCAATCCGTTCTCATCAACGCTTCTGCCTTGCCGCCCGCAATCGTCGCGATCACAAATCCAACGTTATATCCCTGTGGATTAACGATAATTAGTTAACGAGTCACATACTAGCAGCAGCAGCAGGGCGCGTTACATCCAGATTCTACTACTGTGCAGCAGCGCACAGAGAACCACAATCGTATCAATGCTTTTAACTTGTTGTTTTATAATTAGGCAGTTTATGTGCAACACATAATTAGTTGAGTACTTCCGTCCTGCTGACTGAACCCAAGTGTACTTCAGACCGATCAACTCTACTTTAACATAGTTTTATTGCAAAATTGGACGAATAATAAGCAATAGAAGCCGAAAACTGACAGAAAAAGAGTGTTCAGCAAAGTTACACAATTTGTAACTAAAACAAAGCAGAAATTAACACCTTTACCAGAAATAACATCACAGCAACCCGAATTATTACAAAATATTGCGCCACCGTTTGTCAAAATGCCGCTAACACAGATTTGGTGATATTATTCACAAATTCGTCCAATATCATTTCCAACAGCCAAACACCCCACTATATATTACGTTGTGCATTTGCGTATTTACGTGTTTATTTCGCAGGCGGGCAATAAATTCACTCTGAGGATGCGTGCATGCACAGCAGCCGGGACGGTTACTCTTTTATTTAGGGGGCCGGGTCACCACCCGCCGCCTATTACCGTAATGCAAGCGCGAATTGTGTTGCCTTGGAAGTCTGCTGTGCGCGTTGCCTTGCTAGCTTCTCTCATCTCCTTCCCGCACCGCAGAATTTTCTTGCATGCAGTAGCAGCATGCCGAAACGCGCAGCACCGCCACTGCCTCCACTATAAAATACATGGCAGAGTAGCACCGAGTGTGCCGTTCGTTTAACCGGGCATGCGGGGCGAAAATTACGCGCAATGCACCAAAAACCGCAATATGGGGCAATATACATTCGAGAGAGTGACACACCACGCAAAGCTAACATCATGATAGAAGAAAAAAAGGCGCCCACTGCCGCTACGTTATGAGCGCGTATTAAATTTTAAATCCGAATAAAAAGAAAAAAAAATAAACTCAAACACTTTCCTAAATTTTTGTTTAAACAAAACTAAAAAAGAATATCATTAAACAAAATACTAGGGTTTTAAAGAGGAACTTATATAATATCAGCAGTGAAATTGCGTGACGACGAGAAATAACATCTCCTTGGGACGCACAACAAACAAATAAAAAAAAAATAAAGAAAGTTGCGTCGATAAAAAATAACAATGTACGAATTCATTTCAATGTTTCGTTCAGCTAATGTTTCCTTTGTTATACTGAATATGACGATTGTCGCTGAACATGGAAAACGATGATAAAATTAAGTCTACCAAACGTAAAAATGAAAATACTAACTATACTACATCTCCCAACGATACGCGATACACTTAACCTCCAAGCATGATAATATGATCATATGAGTCCATATTTCAGCGTTGAATAATTAGCGTAACAACACACGCCAGCGTTCTAGCAATATATCCTATTTATAGTAATATTCATTAGCCTTAATAGTATGCGCCGACCGCAGGACCTACACACTCACACGTCCGCAGCACCCGTGTTCTTTATATAATGCGCGTCCAAGGTTATCGGTTAGCCGAGCAAGAGACAAGCAGCAGCAGGTACGGCACCGCACTTGCTCGCGCTCGTCGTTCGCGCCGTTCTCGTGTTTCCCTGCAGCGTCAGCAGTCAGCACTCCACTCCGCAAGAGCAGCTGGTTATCGGCGAAACGAGCATCCGGCATGGTCAACTGCAACACGACGCGCCCGGCACGAGAAGACACGTCTTTGTTGCAGGCCTTGCAGGGTGATAAAATGATAAAATTCGATGATATAAATTCGTGGTCGAGGTGCCGACCGAGGTGCAATCGGATATAAAACGCAACGGCAATAAATTCCAACTTTCCAAGCAGGGGAGTAGACTAGAGAGTTCGAGCCATGACCAAGTGATGCGGGAAGCGGGATGAAACGAGAGGTGTAGCTCACTTGGCCTAGGGCATGGACCGTGGGACTATAAATTCACAAAGTTTAGGAGTTAATGCAGGAGACGTCCGCCTTAAAAGAAGAGCCACGCCACCGCCGCCAACCGCACGAACGTGGCAAGTGAAAAGCAAAACCGCCTTTTTCGGCAGTGGGCTTTCAGGATCCATTCAATTTCGGATAAAATTCAATGAAGCACGCGACTGGACTTTTCATTGCCTATTTCCTATCCTGCTAATGCCCGGAACCGCCGCGGTCGTCATGTGTGCACGCGACGGGCGGGAAAAACGAGAAGAAATTAATACTTACTTAAATCCCTTGCCGTCCTCGTCGTTCTGCCCGACTTGTCCGTTCTGCACGGCGACCTGTCCGTTTACCACCACACCACCGCCATCGTCCTTTGGACTAGCAGGCTTGTTATCCTTATCGTTCTTATCGTCCAGGTGTAGTGCTCGCATACGAGGTTCGAGGCTATCCTTGTTGGTCGGTGATGTACCCAGCACGTACTCAACCATCTTTACGCCCAATGTGGGCTGCGTGTCGCTACCGCGTGGGGATAGTATGCTCGCATCGCCGCCGCCCCCGACACCACCGGGATAGCCACCGCGGCGACCCAAACCAAGTGGAGCAGTAACAGAATGATCTGGAAGAAATAAACATCAATTAGTGTGGCGCCAAAGTGCTTCAAACCCTTGAAATGAATAGATGGAAATCGGATGCTTGAAGGGAAAGTGTTAATTAACTTTTGAATTACAGATTGCTAAAAGTTTGTCACTGGTCGACGCCGAACAACAGTCTAATGCGTAATCATTAATAACCCCATCGACAAAGCACGACGTGCGTCGCAGACGAGGGCATCCAACCCTATTCCAGGCGCTTTACAATCTCATCACCCTTGCTTTCCGCCGTCCTGAGCGCGGACCAGAATCCCGCATCACAGTCCTCTCTTTATCGGCCCGCCAGTCGTTCATTTCTATCAACCCGCAACTCCTCTTTTCCCGCAAGCTCACATTTCCTCATTCTTCATCATGCCAACCCGTTCTTCCCTGCAGTAGGATCGTCGTCCCATCATTCTGCAGAATGATAAAATGATAATCATGCACTTTGTCAGTGTTTTGTGTCGGCGTCCTTCGGACGAGCAATCTGCTCGACATTTATTAATGCCCACCATCCGAGAGTCACCTAACAAACGCCCTCAAGTCTACATTGTCGACTTTGTCCCGAAATGCGCTTGGGAGTCTTCACAACAACATATCCTGCATCCGCAAGCCATTACGCCGCGCATGAGTACCGACCACCGAGTACAAAACACTACAAAATCGAGAACATACTAAAGTCGTTGGATAACTTCTTTGTTGAATTCTTATCCCGCGAAATAATACGTCCCGAGGGAGTGCGAGGACGTCGACATTATCGCTCGCATTACACGCCGTACGGCGGCATCCGTGCAAACACAGTGGCGAGACAGATGGGCGACGCACGACGACATCGCAACCCCAATCGGACCACACGTAATCTCTATCTTTGCGTAGTATTGCCGGCAATCAACACTAACGCGGAAAAGACGAACCCAACAAATAGAATGTAAGGAAACAAAATGGTCCTTGCACAAATGAAAGGAAGCAAAATAAAGACGGAACGCGACGAGAATCTAGGAATTGGAATAAGAATAGATTTTTCCGGGACGTAAATAAATGAGAATTGACGACCGAAATGAGAACCGACGGAAACAAACAAAAAACCAACGAAAACAAAAAAAAAACGCAGAACAGACAATACATCAAGTATACAATCGGAAATTCGATTTGTTACTGCTCCAAATGATCAGAATGACTTCAAAAAGATGGCAGATACTTGGCACGATTCATTTCTCGTCACTAATATCTAATGACACTAATGACCATTGATTTTCCATTCAGTTTATGTATTTATATTTAATAAATTGACTAATTTAGCTTATTAATAAAACACGCCGCAAACATTCCTAAATATGCGCATAGTCAATGCTAGTTGTAAAATATTTAATCGAATTTCACTGGAAGTCTGTCCGATATTAAAAGAATCTAACGCGTGTCATTTTCGGTTCGTCAAAAACGTGTCGTTGAGTTGTAGGTGTAGACATCCCATCAAAGCTGCCTGCCTGCCACTGGTGGTCTATCGATAAAATAATTTGTTCGCTCATTCGCTCGACGAACGATTCGATCGTTCACGACGTTCATAAAGAATTTGTCATATCGGCGCTCTGGCGCGCAGCAAACCTTTAAAATGTAACGATTTCCCGCGCCCGACGCGTAATATATTAACCGTGACCTCGTATTCGAAATTAAATCACATCATTTTTGCTGCAAACGAGTATAATATTGAATGTATAAAACAGTCGCCGTAATTTATGCCAAAGAAGCAATTTCATACAAAACACACCCCTTTGAATATAACGCCTATTAAACGGCGTAACAAAGAATTATTAATATTTCACGAGTTGACTTTGCATTGAAACACACATTAAGATGAATTAATTGCTTTCGCTCGCCGGGTCGAGTCATTGCTCTTGTTATCATCGTCTGGATTTTGCCGCGTGATTCAGTAATTTTTCTCCCCTTACGCTACACACATCTTCGCCACGCGCAAATGTATGCAGAGTGAAACGAGCAAGAGCATCACCAATACAATAAAGTGTACGCCATACAAAACTTAATATCGCGTTGTATTATTTTAAATTGTATTAAGCAAGCATGAAATTCACGTTTGCGCGCGCGCACGCTTAACAATTCAATCACATTTTATTGTTTTTGCAATAAAGGCGTGCATGCTGAAGATGGAGCGGACGAAAAAAAGAAAATCGATGTTTTCGGAAGCGATAAAATTTAACGGATGAGCGACGAATGAATGAACGTCGTTCGAACAACGACCGCTTGGCCGATTTCGCGAGCGCGCGATGAGCACAGCACATTTTTGTAGGTTTCGTGGATTTCGGGGCGTTGGCATGCCAACGCGCGCAAAATAAATAAGATAATATTTACGCTCCGGCAATACATTCACAAAGTTTGTAACATTGATTTCGCTTGCATTAACTTAACTAGAAACGTAAAAACAAAAATAAATTATGTTCAAAATTCAAACGAAAAAAATGATCGAACCAAACAGGATCTATATAGACTGTACTGTTCCAGCAAGTAGTAATTTCGGTAAATCAAATTTCATGCCTTGTTTGACTTTATTCGTTGTTGTTTGTACTTGTTTGTTTGTTCAGTGTTCGGCCCGGTTCTCGGTAATTTTGGCCAAAAGCTGCAAAATTCCAGTGCAAAACGTTAAATATGTAAAACATAAATTTGCAAGTTAATTGCCAGCGATTCACCCGCCCGCTCACGAAAGCACTAACTAACTCTTCCTCAACAGCGTTGGCCGTGCTGGCTGGCTTACAAGCACAAACAGATACTTGGCAGTGCTCGTATTTGAATATTTTGATATTAAATTCAATTAGTATCCGATTCGCAATTTGGGGCGGCAATGACTTCTTCCCGGTTTGCGGCACATTCAACCAAGCCTAAACACGCGCGGCGCGTGCGATGCGCGACAACTTCCGGCATTAGTATTCAAGGTACTGCCCGCGTTTTCACTCTATGCCACAAGCTGCACGTAGGGCCAGCCGGCAAAACGTGCAAAACAGACAAAAGAGGCAGCAAAAAAAATCCCAGAGGCCGCATTTCGCTCGCTCGAAAGCCATCCAAATGCACTGCCATCTTTGTCAAATATGCTGCCCCCACGTGTTTCATGTTTCACAGAGACGAGAGATGGGCGGTAATTAGAATTAAAAATTCATTTGATTAATTATTTCGCGGCTACGTGCGGTCATAAAACGACGCCACGTGAGCACGTGTGCGGAGGCTGGTTCACAGCAGCACATGAATTGAACGAGCGGGGCCGGCAGGTGGTGGTTCTCTGCGATTCCAGCTCGACTAACTGCCACAGAGCGGCAGCAAGCCGACGAGGCGAGAGCCAGCAAGCCGAAAAGTGCGTCGGCGATTTTTCCGCTAACCGCCAACAAGCGATGACCCGCCTGACATTACACGGTTTCCGGTTTCGTCACACCGCTGCGACTTGAACACGAGTATTACATGTTCATGTTTACGACCTACATGGACGACAACTTGCGCAGGAAAAGCTTTTTATGATCGGGTTTCCATCGGCTGTTGCCAGGATATAGAGTGTATGGCGCATAGAAATATGGATCCGTGAACGTTGCCTGCGCGTCAGGTATTTTCTGATGTGTTTCACTCTGGTCGCGTGGGCCTTTCGAAGAAGGATGAGCAAGTGTAGTGTGCGAGTGTGTAATTGAATATTGCATGTGGTGCTTTTTGTGGTTTTACTGGTTTTGCTTAGTTCGTGCGGTGAATTCCATGTACACTGAACTAATATTGCATCAAGATGGCTAGATAGTCCCCGACACGAGAAGAGCAAAAGATGAAAGACACGATTGAATCGCATGATGATAATAGAAACATGAAAAATGCAATAGCAGTGCATTCAGAAATGATTCCATCATGTCAGCTAAATTAAAAACTATTGATATTTAGCAGCAGTTTCATTTTGGCACTTTATTAAATTGAAACAATTAAAATATGTGTTTATATTAACCATGTTTGTGAAAAACAACGTTGATAGATGTATGCGGATGGGCGTGCCGGGCGTCGACTGCGGCCGGCGGCGGCGGCGGCGTCGGTGTTGAGGCGGTCGGGGTGCGCGCGTGTTCCGGGCTCGCGTCGCCATGGCCACGTTGGCGTCTGTCGCCCGGGCAACCACCCGGCCGAATTCAATCAGTCGACGGTCGGCCCCGAACGAAACGCGCCCGCCGCCGCCGTTGACGCACACACGCATACACCACACCCTCTCGCTTGCTGCGGCGATTGCGTCTTCGACACACAACACACACCTACTCTTCTCTAACACACGCATACCGAGCGAGTTTTGCCTGGCTATTGCTCATTTAAACTTTAACAAACGGTACGCGCGGGAAACAAAACGAGGAAGAGCGCAAGCGGATCGCCGAATGCGGCGCAGCGGAAGCGATGTCAGGGCCAGGGAATAAAATTTCGGACCACCGCGACAGGGCGGCAAACAAAAACGTCGCGCCGCCTCGCTGCTGCAATCGAATCCACAAAGTGACAAAGCGATACGAGATTTGTAATCAGTGCTGCTGCGCTTTCCGCACCTTCAAATTTCATTCAATTACAATGCTAACACTCTGTTTCGATTGGATTCACACACGAACCTGATGACTGAAAATTTATTTCATCACACTGGCAGTCACATTATCACCTAATGAACGCCAGGATATCAGAATTGATACAAATGCATGATTTGCATTTTCTGATTTAGAGCATTTGCGATGCAATATAATACACAATTGAAAGGGATATCAAAATTCGTTGAGGATGATAATTCGAAAATCAACATCCCGGAACTCGTTGCCGCTTTGCCAAGAATGCGCCCGACTGGAAATTCCGCGAACGTTTAAATTACTCCCACAGCCAAATCTATGACCAGAGCTGAATTGAAACCCAAGCAAATGGTGGGCCAACCAAGTGTAGGAAAATTACGATTCCCAGTTTTGGTTCGAATTTTCATCGTTTTCGGCGCCGCGTAAACTCGAAATTTCGCCCCCCTGCTCATTTCCACGTTGTCCAATGAATACACCCACACAGAGAAAATCGCATTGTTGTTGATTTTCCATTTCTCCATTTCATTCTTCATGGCATCCATGGTGATTCCTCTAGAACGCGTGTGTTATTGCTTTTCGTTTACGCTATGCGCTTGTCGGTAGAATTAATTGTTATTGCTAAGCGCGCGCGACCATAAATATCCGTTTGCCTTTGGCACCCATTGACAAAGAGGCGCGCTGTGGTAACCGGCTCCTGCTGCTGCTGGCTGGTAGCAGCGCATACGAACGTTATACGTTTCGCGACGCGTATCGAACAGATGTCATTATTTAATGCGTGCGGCGAATTGTACGACACCGCACTTTACTCGGCGACGCAGAGAGACGCCGAGGACGCGCGACGAGAGATAAATAGACCGCAGAAACGCAAATGGAAATCGCCGTAAATTAATGACAGTGAAAGTCTGATATAGATGGTTTATGGCGTACAAATTGCAGAATGTCAGTAGGAAAATGACACAGAAAAATCAATATCAGTTATATTCGACTAATCATATATAACTCGATAATGGTTCAAAACTAAAAATTACTACTCACTAAAGTGACATTGCGGTTGTTGAACATGCAATACTTGTTGCTAAATAATAAACTTGTCAAAATAACAGCGTGCGAAGTAATTATACAGCATTGAATTATGCGCGTAGTTTAAAATTCGTCACACGATCGGTTCGTCCATCACGAACACAGTCCGCTCAGCCAGCTTTGGTATACATCGGTCATATTTGCATTACAAAGTTGTTGCGCAAGTTTGCGCTTTTGCATGCGGTGATCCAACCTGTATGCAAAAAGGACGTTCAACAAGGCACTAATCGTTATCGCATTACCAATCATCCGGACGGCTGGATCTGCGGATATTAATTAATTACAAACGGCGAGCGCTTTGACCCTGCTGCTGCTGCGCATTGCCAAAATGGCCAACATTCGAGCGAATCCCACACGGATGGGATGGCTAATACCCGAGTGCCAAATGGCTGAATGCAGGAAAATGTAGATAAACGCATTACGGGTCGTTATTTAAGCGAGAACGCTCGGATTTTCGGCTTGCGCGCTCAGAATTTGAGTTTTCTCCACCAGCGTGCGACTGTAAATAATGTAAAACCTCGATGCATACAAATCGGCTATATTTTGACGACGATTTACATCGCAATTTACATTTGTCTAGCCTTTTTCGTGTTGATTTTTAAATTTGCCTTAATCTTTGCATAATTTTAGAGAAAACTGTAAAGCATGTGGAGGATATATTAATGTCGAAAAGTTCAGCGCAAACTTTTTCGATGAGCAGCTCTCGAGCTCGTCAACAGCGCACTTAGCATAATATTCGATTAAACTTTTAAACAACTACGTAAACAACGAAGTCTGTGCGGCAACGCCGCCCCCGTTTCCCTATTACATCACTCTTTTCAAGAGGGCGCACATACGCATTTGCCTCCGGCAGCGGCACCTTCGCTTCGGGGAACATCTCGAAGGAAGATAATTGCACAAATTCGGAAACAAAAGGAGAGTTTAATTGCATTTCGTAAATTTAATTAAAGAAATTTATTTTCTTCTAACGTAGACGCAGTAGAGGACTACCGACAGATGCCCATTGCGGTGGAAAATACCAATTGAAAATGCTCAAAACGAATAGCAAGAAAACTCATTTAAGGAAATTTCAGCAACAGTAATGACTTAATTTTTTTTTTCATATTTACCTGGAGCCCATGTGTGATCCCGCCAAACACCCTCATGTGTAAGCGGATGAAGTGTCAGGTTCTTTCCGTCTTTTCCTTCTAAACCCCATATTTTCTTAGCCGATGGAGCAATCTGCAACAACAAAAAACCAGACAAATTAATCAACGTGAATTAATTTGAAACATTTACGAATATCAGTAAAACTCAAGTATCAAACACGTTGAAAGTTTGCGGAAAGTTGGAAAGTGTCGCAATAAAAGGCAAACATTGACGACACCTGCTAGAAAACCGATGAGTCTTCATAATGCGACACAATTAGCGTTAAACAAAAAAGACGTAAAACGCAAATTAAGTAAAATAACATTTTAACCATTTTAGCGGAGATGTTGCGCATTCGGGTGCAGCTGCATTTCGTAATGCACTTTATTAAAAATTATTATTCCGATAGTGGCCCTACTGTCGCGTACGGTGGCGCTATTATTATCAATTAGATTTAATTGTACGTTCTAATGGTAATGGCGGTCATACATTACAAACGAAATCTAGCGCCAAACGTGAGGCGGCATGGCGGCGTACATACAAAGCGCGACGCAAAATAGCCATACATAAAAGTGGCAGAAATGCTTCCGAAGTCACTGAAATCGACTGGGCGCACAAAGGAAACCGACAGAATGCAGACAAATAGAAATGTTATTTTCAGATTGTTTGCGATTGTGCACAGAAAATCAACATGTAAAATGCAACAACACAAACCGGAGAAATAACAACCGATGGAAACGTGAATTCAAGCAACTGAAATCGATTATTAAAAGGATTTCTTCTTTCATTGTGTGTGCAGTTATGGCATTCTGATTCCAAGCGACACAATAGGATCGAATGGAATTAAGTTTTAATTAATTTATATTTACCGATAAATGAATAATGTAAAAATGCGGTGACAAAGAAACCTTGGCTGATCAAAAATTACCCCGATCCAAAACCTACAATTCCATCCTCTATCCTCACCATTCCTTTATTGATCGAAAACATAAAATGAATATTACATGCATAATAGCACATAAAAACTCAATATTAAACAACATTATCATAATGCCATGCTGTTTCTATTACTATTACATTATACGATGCGGAGAAATAAAAGCAATGTAAATTCCAGCTACAATCCACACGATCCCAATCAAGCATAATGAAATTGGGAACAAACAGTAACCTGACAGCGGGCAAATTGAAATTTTGATGCTGTTCATGCACCGTTTAAAACTATTAATTATGAAATTTCTTAATCAACAATTAAGCACACGAAAACTGTATCGATTTTCCAAAACTTTGGAAGGCAAAATACCGAGGGGTGGTTGTTATATTAAAATGCCACGCAGACATTAGCATATCCGCATTATACTCGAAAGCGTTTGGGTCGCACCCTGCCTGCTCCCACAGGAGAAGGAATATTGTTAATATTAGGGTTCGCGTCTATAGACGCACTCACAACAAACCCCGTCCAATACATCCTAAGTATACAAAACTATCAAAACTGACATTTCAATATGATGCTGCGTAACCGATGAATAAAAAATACTGCATGTTGTAAATATTATGCACACAACACTTGGTATATAATCCACCCGATAATTTAGTCTGAAGAGTATTGGTGGAATATTTCAACGACGGGTGGAAGTAAGTGAAGCATTTCAGTGCATATTCAATATCGGTAAAAGGGAACCGTTCTCCGCTTGGGGTTTATCTGCGCGCTCCAGAGTGGCTAGTATGGCTTTGGAGAGCGCAATGACCAATCGAGGGTTGGTCAAGAGTGGAACACGGGTCTGGAAGCAAAATGATAGGTGCCCAACGAAGGAAACGACACTTGTACTTGTAACAAGCACCAACGACACAAACATGAAGATTGGGGTATGACAGAACAGACAACAAGAGAATACTAATACAAAAATACAACATGAGGGTTCAAAATAAGAAATCGACTGCCACGAAAATTGTATCAATACAAGGAATTCCTTTCTGTTTAATTCCCAGAGTAGTTTATCAAAGTTAAAAAGTTACTTTTGCAAAGACTGAAATGGAAAGAGTTTGCTTAAAACGTTTCGCTTCGTATCGTTTCCAAGCTAAGTTATTTCCTCCTCGAAGGAAGTAACCTTCAGAATAACAGGCAGGATGCTGGTGCCAACCTGGGTCGATATCCCTATCGCTGCATTTCGCCACCCAGGGGCACACCCTCCGCACCCTCACACACACGACAAGCAACAAACTCCTGTTTTAAACCTTTCCACTTCACTTCAGCGGTCCTAGTTAGACACCCAACTTGTCTCGCAGCCATTTTAATCATTTCAACACAAATTCAACGCGAATCCAACTCGGATCGTGAAAGTGATATAACTTACGTGAAGGTAAAACAAACCGACAACACGAGTAAATACATACACACACGTCGCAAACAAATAAACTAATGGCCTGCCGAATGGCACATCATGCGAATTAGGAAGCTGTCGCACCAGGATCAACTATTTCAAACAGACAACCACAAATAGACACTGCGAAACGTTTTAGCGCGCTCTGCGAGGGAATTTAAACGCGCTGATAATCTACCCTCTAAACAGGACAAAACATGTCCAAATAATAAATCCCTCTCTACCTCAATGTACAAAGTACAAATGACCTAGATACTAACGTATTACCATCAATTGAGTAATGGCGAACCGAAGACCGAGACCATAAATTCGCATTTCTATTTAAATCCCATCAATATTAAAAACAAATAAACGCAAGTACTGAAGCAGAGGAATACAAGTTAATTCCTTCGGGAGGGAATACAGGCGAGCCAGAAAAAAAAACACAAAATAACAAACGAAAATCTTTCCATCCTTCCAGCAAAAGCAATTCATCATTTTTCCCCGGCAAAGAATTACTTTTGTTCCGAGTCGGGTTTAGGAGCAGAGCTTTTCTCGCCACCGCTACCAAACAGAAGAAAAAAGCGGACCGCTCACTAATCGTCCATCGTAAATATTAACGCATGGACGTGCTATATCCTATTTTGTAGTAACAAACAAAAATACGAAACTATTGTTTTTTAAAATAGGACTATATAAACAGAGTTTAAGCTGAGTTTGGCAAAAGGTAAATCAAAACAAACGATAAACTAATCTAACTAACTTTAAAATGCACCCATAGTGCGCGAGTTGTTTTCGTGATGAATTAATGGTCGCGTTGCTCGAGTGCTGTATGATGCACAACCAGCGCCAAGCTAGACAAAGTTTCAAGTGTGTGATTAATTAGTTTCACGCCTTTGTGGAAAGGCTTCCTTTTCGTTGTTTTCCGTTGTTGTACTTGGCGTCAAAACCAAGTGTTTTCGCAGGAAAACCACGGAATCAAATTTAGCTTACATATGAAGTACTATTTTATCAACATCTTAGCTTTAATCTAAATACAACGCTTTCGAATCTTACATTCAATAATAACAATGAGATGATTGATTTTGCATTTCGTTCATAGTTATGCCACTCTCGAAAAATAAACTATAGCCTCGTATTACTTTGGAGAAATACGTGCGACCCGTTAAAAATCCAATTTATCAGCTGAAATTCGAGTTGGCAGTTTGTTTACGCTGTGTTTGTTTAAGGTTTCCGAGGCACTCGGCCACTCAGCTCGACGCGCGGAAAATCCGCGAACGCATCGCTGCGATCGGACGTAAGCTCACGCTCGAACGACGAACCCGAAGCAAGGCGAAGAGTAAATGAAAAGCGTGCGCGCGGCGCGGAAAGCTTCGGAAATCGTAGGAGACGAGCCGCAGACAGAGTAGGTTAGCGTCTCGCAGTGTTTCCTACAGCGATCGCTAAAATCGCAAGCATTTTTTTCTCTCACTCTTCCAGCAGGAAAGCCGAAACCTATAACTACAAAGCCGAAGCCCGTACAACGCATAATCTTCGCTTTATTCCGACCGACGGCAAACCATAATATTCTCTATTATCGAATGAAGAAGCGCGCGTGAATAGGCGAAGTGGGGTAATATGAGTCAATCCTGTTGTGCGTCTTCATTTTTTTCTCCAGATTTTACCATACGTTTTTTTTTAGCTATTTGGTATCTTGGAAAGTCAAGAAGACTTCATATTTTTGCTACAAACGCAAGTACATAAACGACATTGACGATGGCGACGCGAATGAGGAAATTGAAAATGTGCCAGCAAATCAGTGCAAAAACAAATCAGCTTATAAAAATGGAAATTGGAAAAAATAACGCAAAAAAAAAAACAGACGTGCTGTAAATGGAATTTGTAAAATCAAAAACAATCTGCATTTTATTTTTAATTTATAAATGCTCAGATGTAATGGAGATGTTAAGTATCACTTTTCATTTTTATCTCACCATGAATCCAAACAGTTTGCGCTTGTTCAGGGCCATTTATTCAAGAATTTCGCAATTTTTCAGCGACAATACGCGGTACGCAATGGCAGGCGTAACTGAAGCATTGAAACTAAGCCGGCACTCCGAATTGCTCACTTTTGTGCAATCCGCATACAAACATGAGCTCCAAACAACCACGCCGAAATGGAACGCAAACAAATCTTTTTCCTCGTGTGCAAATATTAAATCATTCTGCTTGCGCGACGTTTTTCGAGCAAACACGTTAATGCAAGTCGAGTTCAACGCAAAAAAATATATAACACGTTGATAATATAAAAATAAACACTGACACGAGACACTGGAGCAATAGATGCAATGAATTCCAGAAACTATAAAATAACATATTCTCTGTATTCTTTATAACACATCCTCGTCATGAATAATATAATGAGCTAAATAATTAATTGACTTGATTAGAAACTGCACGTCATAACTTCATACACAATTGATTGGTTTAATTAGACTCTTGTTATCGATCGCAAAAGCATTGTTCTGGTACTGTTCGATCAGCGGTTTATTCGAATCGTATTATGAATCAAATTTTAATTACGTGGTAAATAAATAACCAAAACACCTTGCTGGTGTTCCCATACTCCCCATTGCTCTCTCAACAGCGTAGGGTAGAATAAAAAAAAGTGAAAAACACTTTTAAACGTGTTATTTCTCGCGCCTTTTCCCATTTCCACCACGTTCCATATGTCTTTCACACTGCCGCTAGCTTACATTTTCGCTTCGAAGGACAAACACCCATTTTCAGATAAACCATACTCATCCAAATCATGTTTCTGAAAACAATTTTTCTACCACTGCTTGATTTAGTACTTCTTTTCGCACACGAAGGTAGAAAAATGAAAAGATATACGCCCAAAACCCCTAGAAATACATCATCATCTAGTTGCGTGTGGAATTTACGAGGTGTGCCGATAAATCATAACCAAACTTTCAAAAACAACATCAACGCAAAAAAAAATGTAATCTCGAGGGGCATGATAGCGCAAGAAACTGTACAGAGCAGAAAAAAAAAAACAAAAGTAGAAAGTTTCAGATCGTAGATTTTTTCTGAGAGGTCGAGAAAATTGTGTATAATATACAGTTTTTCACTTGGCTGTTTTTCGCAAACGTGCTAAACTTTTAACATTCCTAATGTTCTACTTTTTCGCAAGAAAAATATACTTGTACGAGTAGGTATTCGCAAGCAATGCAAAGAAAAGCGGAAAAACAAAAAGTTTACAAAGCACACAACCCATACATTGGTTTGAAAACGCGGGGCAGGCGCGGAAAGATGGCTAGACTAGTAAACTTAAACTTTATCAACGACATGAGGCCAGGCGGCTTCATCACGAAGAAGCGTGCATTGTAACATTTACAATGCGAGCAGCGCGCCAGCACGACGAAAGAAGATGCTCCCCAGCTAGCCAGAAGAACGCCGTCGAACAATAACAAGTTTTCTTTCCTCGGTCGCCTCAATAAACTTGCAGCATGCTATGCAGCAAGCAAAACAGATCACAAAGCATATATAGGTACACGTCGAAAAAAGAGATCAGAAACTCAAGGATAATATATGTTGAAAAGAAAAGCAAGAACAGCTAACCAACTAGAAAAACTATGCTTATCTCGTGCAAAGCGTTGAAACAACCAGAAGATATAAACTTCTCAACTACTCGAAAGAATTTCTGTAATTAGGTTCAAAGCAGTGCGCTCCTCTTACAAGTAAAACACACCGGAATCGTTTTCAGCATTTCGGTTCGGAAATAAAACGCGGAATGTACTCGATAGGAAAGTTAGAAAAAGCAGCCCACTATTTCAGAAATATAACTTGCCCAACTTTACTAATACTTTAACACGCACAGCGTACAGGGAAGTGTTAACAAGTAACCGGAGCCTCTCAAAGTTCAACGTGAAACAAAATCAATTACGAGTACAAACAAAAAACATTTTCGTAAACTGTAAGCGGAAATATCGAAATAATTAATATAATACCAACATAAAATTTAATTGAAACATGTCTAATGGCAAATAAACTACGAGTAAAGTGTCTTTCAATTAATATCTTGCCATTTTAGTAATAAAAGTAGGTACGATTGAAAATTCTAATATCTATAAATCAGATGACAGTGCACTTCGTGATCAAACAATTCCACGAACAAAGCCCAGTCAACTGCAAAAAGTGCTGAGTAATGAGCAAACGACTAACAAATCAAGATCAAGATTTGCATTTTCAGAGCACATTCCACTGGCATGAAAAGTGCAAACAATCACACACAAATATTCTATTCGCGTACCGATGATACGGATGCCATATGAGAATCAAAGAATTTCAAGCATTGATGCTTTGTAATTCCCTGCTGGTAGTAGCGCATCACACAAAAACACAATTGTTGTCCTCTCAATCGCAAAAGGGGACCTTGGTTTACCTTGCTCGATGAATGCTGGCTGCAGCCGCGGTGATGATGGCAAAAGCCGGTCGCGGACGCTCTATACAGCAGCGTACGAGAACGTAGCGCGAAACGGCCTTGGCAGTGGGGACATTGACTCTGCGAAACCGCGGTCTCTGCCAACCAGCAAACTAGCCAACATTCTAGCGCTCCGCGCGAGATGGTCATTTGTAAATGCGCGCCGCGCAACGACGACCGACTTGCGTTCGTGCTCTTGGCACAGCATTACCCAGACCCCGAAAAGAATCGAGAGTTGCGACGAGACTCGAATGGACCCCGCTGCTGCATACACTATACACGTGTAATGCAACGTAATGTAATGCAATGAGCAAAATGCTCTGTTTTCGTCATGCGCTTTGTTCTTGTGGCCCCTAACCAAAGAAGCCACCGTGCGTCGAAATCGTAGCAAGCCGAAGGCCAGCCTGAAACGAGAACAAGTCGAAGGCGCGATGGGAAGCGCGTGGATGGCAGACAGACAAGACAATTCGTGCCAGTGTCTTTCCAACAGAAAAGCGAGGCAACCGGCAATCGGCGTGCAGCAGACGGCGACGACGGCATAATGATGGCACGATGGCATAACAGAGTCCGGCTTGCGGTGGCTCGGCGTGTAACCGACGCACGCCTCAATCGACTCAGCCCTGCCTACAAAACACAAACGTAAAGCAGCGGCTTCAAACGACGAGCTGAAACGCGCTGCATCGAAAACTGGTCAAGTACGAGTCATCGCAACCTAGTCACATACAAGCAAGACCATTTACTCTCATAATCACTTCATCGCCTCGTTTAATTTTACACTACCATGTAGATCAAAGCATTACGCTACGCATTATCTATATATAGGTAAACTGCGCTGCAATTCTTTGCATATCACACACTCATGTTCAGTGTCTCGGCAACCGTTTGCAAATTGGAAGAAAATAACGAGACCAACGAGAGCAAAAACCAGAAATTACACCACACTGATTGCTCGCAGGCGTGTTTACTGCACGCTCTGTTGTTGGTCGCAATCTTGATGCGCGCATGTAAGCACATGCTTTTGCTGGCGTCGCAACTTCGACGCGGCGCGACCGACCGGATTTTCACTCTCGTAGCACACAAACATACTCTGCTGCGAGCTCGCTAGACCTGCCGCCGCGCGCTGCACAGTCCACTTGTACTTACTTTCCATTATGCGTCGCGTTAAATAAAAGTAAAAACGCAACGAAAAGGAAAACGCACACACCAAAACAAACAAAAGTAAAATCGTATTCGTATCACCATCAATAATGGCAAAATGAACGAAGCTGACAAAACACTCTTCCACGCATGACAAAAAAGTGAAAATGAAAACAAAAACATCAGCATTATGAATAATATTACACAACTTTACTTAGAATCAGACATAGTCTATGAAAATACCATCAAAATGAAGTTAAATAAAAAGTTCATGATTCAAGAGAATAATAAATAACTTATTATAATGATAATGACGTGAACCACGAACGGGTAATTAAAACTAATTTGAATTAAATACACCGAAACTACCAAGGATCATCATAGTCGTCGTTGTGCTTGTAAATTATTATGGTTCAATAGAGCGGACTTGGATTACCAACAAAGCGCAAAGCAAAATTATAATTTGTTGCTAAATTTAATATTTCGCAACGTGACGCGACTCAAGATCACCCATAATATTAGCAAACGCGATTTTTGGCTAACGTATTGTTCGAAATCTTTCAATGATAATGAAATCAAGAATGAAAATCTAAATTAGAATGCGAGACGAAAATGTGGAAAAGTTGGCAACGTCGCAAATGGATAAGAATACACACACGCCCGCTGGCTTTATTTACAAACACGACGACTCTTCACGGAGGGAGCATCACCAACGCGTCCCGAATGGTGTGGAATCGACCAAAATGAACTTAGTTGAACATCTGTTCTTGTGTTTTCTGTTCTGTCTGTGTACTTTTGCCGTTCAGCGCTTCGGATTGTCTTAATACATTTAAAAATATCTGGCTAAAGTGGTTTCTCTCATATTCTTTAAACTTTACGGAAAAACTTACAACGAAATATTTGTCAAATATCCTTTTATCGTTCTTGTGCATTACTTGCATTGTTCCGGGTTATCGCCACAATGTACAAATATACAATTCAAAAGTTGTCGAGCTTTTAAAATGCACAACTTTTGTACACACACACTATGCACAAATATTTACAATTATATACACGATATGAAAGTTTTAAACTTGAGCGCTCACATGAGTGCGAATTTAGCACCAAATGAAACAACACCGGAAACAAACGCGCAACGACCGTCAACAGACAAAGTTACGAGTTCGACTGAACGCCGCTCGAGCAGAGCGCGCGTCGAGT